GGGCTGGCASCAGCGGTGGCCGTGTCTGCRCTGGCTGCCCCCTCTGCCAGGGCTCCTGCAGGGGCTCCCCAGGGCACGTCTCTGTGCCCAGCAGGTAGGCTGGGGGCTGCCAGTCCTCCCCTAACGCCCCCATCCTGGCCTGGAAGGATGCCGGGGCAGCCGTGGGTCCGATCCTTGTGCCAATGGCACCACATCCACAGGCCCCAGCGTCTGCCCGGGCTGCTCTGCCCATACCCACGGGCACTTCCAGACAGCGGCGGCCGCGCAGGGGACCCGAGGGAGCAGCCTTGGGGCTCCGGGGACCCGGGGCTGGGCCGAATGGGCTACCGGGACACACGCTGCCGGTACCGGTGCTGCCGCGGCCGGTACCGGTGCTGCCGCGGCCGGCACGGCCACCCCGTCCTGCACGGCTCAAGGTAAATGTGTCCGTGCCGGGCGGTCGGGGCGAGGCACCGCGGGGCCGGGGGCTCCTCCGGACGCCTCTTCAGCCGCAGCCAGGAGGTCCCGGTGTGTTGCCCTTCCTGGGCTGTGTTTAYCTGCAGCGGGACGGCGGCAGCAAACACCGACTCGCCACCGCCGGCGGCGGCCGGAGCGCGGGTGTGGAGGCGGCTCCCGGCGGCGCGGCCGAGATCCGTGCGGGTCCCCGAGAGTCCGAGCAGCCTGCTCGGGGCACGGCAGAGGGGCCGGGACCGGGGGAACCTCCCAGAAATGGACCCCCGGCCCGCTCCCTCGGGACTGTCGCGGTCCAGCTGCCCCCGCCGTTCCGCCCGTCCCTGTCGCTGTCGCTGTCGCTGTCGCCGAGCCGGCGGGCACCGAGCTGCGGGGACAAGCGGCGGCGATCCTGGGCGCGACCGCCGCTAATGCAGGGGGCAGCCCCGAGCAGCCGGCGGGGCGGGGGCACCGGGCTGTGCCCCCCTGGTGCCGGCGGGAGGAGCGGGGCTGTGGACGCGGTCCCTCCCTCCGAGCCGGTCCCTCCCTCCGAGCCGCCACTGCCGCCGCCGTCGCGGCTCCGCCAAAGTTTTCGCCGGTCCCCGCCGGTCCCGAGATGCGTCCGGGAGCCGCCGCGATTCCAGCTCCGACAGGTACGGGGAAGGGAGGGAGGAGGGCAGGAGGCGCCGCAGCCGCGGGCTCGGAGCTCGGGATGYCGCACGCCGGTAGCGGAGATGTGGATTCGAGCGAGTGACGGCTGCGCAACCCCGGGGCCACGGGCTGAGCCCCGGGAGCTCAGAACAGCCGGTCCCAGAGCCGCCCCTGGGGAAATGGAGCCCCTCGGTGCCGGGGGTTCTGGACCTGGGTCCGGCTGGGCTGTGCCCGTTTCCCGTCCCTGGGCAGGGGCGCTGCCGCCAGGCTCACACACAGCACCCCGGGGCTCTGCCCTGGCCGTGATGAGCCCCCGGCAGCGATCGCAGCTGCAGGAATTCCCGCAGCAGCCCCTGGCCGGGCCGGTACGCACACCGTGTCCCGGCTGTGGCACAGCGGTGCCCGTGGCTCTCTCGCCGAGGGGCCGGAGCCGTGGACGCTTTGCCAGGTCCCAGCTCTCCCCGAGCTCTCTGGGTGTAACGGGGGCCTGGTGCGAGTGCCCTTTGTGACTCTGTCCCGAGCTCTGCTGTGTCAACACGGTGTTGGTAAATGGCTTTGTTTAACCAGGACATGTTGGGTATGTGACCTTGCCGTCCTGCTGGTTGCGAGTGCATCTCCAAAGCTGCTGYGGGTCCCCCGTGCCCGGCACTGCGCTTCCTTCGGGGTGCTGAGGGGAGCACGGGGCTCAGATGGGCTGAGGGGGAGCATCTGCTCTGTTCAGCCTTTGCCTGGCATCCCACAGCCCTGTACCCTGCCTCATGCAGCACATGCTGCACGTGTCCTTACCCACAACAAATTCAGTGATTGCCCCCATGGTTTTGTCTGTGCATCAGAAGAAAAATGTAGGGCCTGCAGGACCCCTGGTCAGCGTTAGTGCTGCCCCAGCTGCCAGCTCCTGTGCTTCCCTCCAATCCCGCTCCTTTCTGCACACTGTGGTGCATTTTTTTTTTTTTATGTTCTGTTGCCTAGAGAGGGGAAAAGAGAAAAGGCTGAACAGATAATAGGCAAAATGTAGATTAAAAATAGTTAATGAAAAAATGTGACCACAAACCCTGATCAGCAGCACAGGGCAGAAACCAGCCACCAAGCACAGCATCTCAGTGCACCTTGCTGTGCCAGGCAGGGGCAGGGGAAGCCAGACACAGGGGAGATGGGATGGCTGCTCAGTCCATCCCCCTGTGCTCCTGCATGGCATCCTGCTTTGTCCTGCATCCCCATGGCCAGAGCCCTCGGTTTGTCCGTGCCAGCATTGGGGTCTGGTGCACACAGGTGATGGCTGGGCATGTGTGCCCCCCACAGAACCCCCCCAGAACCCCCACAGAACCCCCACAGAACCCCCACAGAACCCCCTGCCTCGTTGGGGGGTGTCTGGCTGTGCCCAGTGCTGCTGCTCTGGGGAGGTGCGTGTGGAGCTCCCAATGCAGAGCGTGTGTGCTAATCTGTCTGCACTGACCTTTTCCTAGGCTTTTCCCAGCCTTGTGCCTCCCCTGTGACACGTTAAGCACACGTGTCACACCATGCCTCCTGTGCCTTCCTTCTGTGTTTCATAGGTTTTCATGCAACGCGATGAACACAAACACTCCTTTCCCTGAGCCAGGGATGAGGGGCTGTGTGTTCAGCATACCCCTGTCAGAGCCAGCTGGGCAGTGAGGCCATTTGGCTGCTGCCAGGCTGTGTCATGGTCCCTCTTTGGTACAGGGCAGCTGTGCAGGTACCCCCTGACCACGCCTTGTGGTGRCCTGGCAGTTGTGGAGGTGATGCAGAGCATTTGTCCTGTTTGCATCCTGTGCTGCTGTTGATGAAAACACTCTCAGGGCTGGTTTAGGTTTTTCTGGTCCACCAGTGCCTGGTGGCATCGGGTCTCTCCATGTGCCACTGCTCAGGGCTTCCACAATTATGTAGCTCTGTGCAAATAAGCCACAGTCTTGCAGTACAGGGGCTGTTCCAGACTGTTCAACTGCTCCTCTGTTGCCAAAGTTCGTTGTATTCAGTTCTCAGGGAAAGAATGGAGAAGGGGAGTGGAAAACATCCCCGAACTTCAGGCAGGATCAGAGGCAGGGCCGGTGCCAGRCAGATCTCCTGGGCCTCCCTGCCATGGCCATCCCTGCAGCCTTTCCCCACTTGCCGTGGTCCCGGGTGGGACGTGGAGCAGCATCTGCAGATTGGCATTAACACTGCATCAGCTCTGCCCACACCGTCCCCTCCCCTCCCTGCCAAGTGCCAAAGCCCCCGCCGTGCTGGCATGCAGCCCCAGCTGAAAGCCAAGCCAGCCGTGGCAAGCAGCGCATTAGCACAGGGGGCGAATCCCCGTGCCCAGAGGGCACACAGCCCCACAACTGCCCCCACGCCAGCCGGGTCAGGGCTGTGCTCACAGGGAGCCCAGTGCCCGCTCCACTGGGGAGACAAGAGTGCTGTGGGACAGCTCTGGGGCTGTGCCATCCCCACAGCCCAGTGCAGGGCTGTGGCTGTGCCAAGATGTGCCCAGGTCACGTTACAGATGCCCACGAGTGTCCTGTGGAGACTGCACCAAGTCACTGCTCCACTGTCCATGGCCACAGCGATCCCAGGCGTGGAGCTCATTCTCTCACGTGTGTGATGGCAGCACAGCTGAGGGGCACAATCTCCAGGGGCTCTGACCCCCGTGGGATGAGGAGAGAGTCTCTTCCCAGGCAAGGCTGGGCACTCAGWGGAGCCATAGCAGCTGTTTGAGCCTGGGCTCCACAAGGGTCAGCAGCCACAGAACTGTGATTCAGGAACACGCTGCATTGTTCAGCACCAGCGTGGGGCAAAAGTCCCCTGGGCACCCACTGTCCTGCACTGCAGCCCCTGTCAGGCACCCATTCACCCAGGCAGCCTCCACCCAGTGCCTGGGCCTTGGGGTACTGGGGATCCCTCAAAGGCTGGCCCCAGCTGGCCCGGGGATGAGGTGCCAGGGCAGGGAATGCCCAGTTGGGCACAGCGGGATGAGGGCAGGTGGTGAGGATGTGGGGCCAGGCCCCYTGTGCAGTGCTGCCCCTGGCACCCAGGGCACAGCTGAGAGGGGCCAAAAGCWCTGCAGGCTCTGSTGCTGGGCAGTGCCAGCTCCTGGGAGGTGCTTGTGCCACCAGTGGTCCCGGGCACCCCAGACCCTGCTGTTCCACCACACAGAGCAGCTGCTTCCTCTCTGCCATTGCTCACGGGCACTGGACCAGGCAGAGCTGCTCCGTGGCT